CATCCTGCTTCTTATCCCAAAGGATCCTAGATTCCAAATTAGTCGTCCAAATTAATGAGATTTTCCATTAGTAAGCCTGAGACTAAAATGATGGAAAATCCACTAATTAAAGGCTATCCAACCACCTCACCATGATGATCCAGACCTTTGGGAGGAAGGAGAGGAAAGGAGGAGAGAAGGCCGTAGATGCAACCTGTGCCGGGCAGTCCTTCCTTCCTGCGCCACTGCCCTCTTCCCTGGACCTAGAGGCCTCGGCACCCAGTGCTTCCTGCCTCTGGACTCCGATCCCTATTCAGGCGGAGCTAGGCTCTGCCTCTGAAGACTACGTAAATCTTCAGGATAAATTCCTGGAAACTCCAAAATAGGGCCCAGAGTGGAGGTGGGGGGCATGTTTTCTGCTCAGTTCTGGGAAGCCATTTGAGAGGTGGTACCCAGAGAAGGAAGAAGGGTAGAAAAGGCAGACAAAATGCCCATTGTACCAAGCCTGTCAATTTCCTTTTTTCATCTCTTTATCAGTGTTTGTGACTGAGCTTCTTATCAACAGGAAACGCCTGCCTGAAGGGATGAGGCAGGTCCAGGGGGACTGGACGCCAGGGACTGGGAATTCTGGGTAGTGTGCTGCTGTGGGGCAGCCTGGCTGGGTGGCCTCTTGATTCCCAGGACCCAGGCTCTTTGCCCTGGCATATAATGACTACTTCCACGTACACAGGAAGAGAGCGCACCAAATAGGCCCTGAGACTAGGGGTCTGCAGGAGGGAGAGCTGAGAGGGACTCTAGCCCTGACCTTCTGTGACCAAGGACAAGTCACCAAACAGCTCAAGCTTTAAAGTGAGAAGAATTGTCTTTGCCTCTAATCCTACCAGTCTCTATCCTTCTGAGGAGAGTCCAAGTACCTGTCAAAGTCACAGATCAAGAAATTTCTTGACAGTCAGTCCAACTGACCCTTCTGATGTGTGTGCCTCTGAGCCCTGAGAGACTGGTGCCCAAGCCTGGGACGATCAAGTGCTTAACACAGACTTTTAGACAAAAGAGAGAAAAGGGACTGTAGCACTGATTGACCTCTCTGTGTGTACCAGTTGCTTTAAAAATATTGGTCATCAAATCAGGCATGGTGCCAAGCACCTGTAATCCCAGCTACTCAGGCAGCTGAGACAGGAGGACTGCAAGTTGAAGGACAGCCTAGGAAACTTCCCAAAACCCTGTCTCAAAATAAGAAATAAAAAGGGCCAGGGATGTAGCTCAGTGGTAGGGCTTTTGCCTAGGATGCTGGACCCCCTGGGTTCAATCTCCAGTCCTAACATGAAAACAAAAATTGATCATAAAACTAGGATCCTGATCTTGCATATCTGTCTCTCAAAAGCGAGGCCAACCAAGGGCCAGATTTCCTAGGAGGCAAAAAACAAATGTAAGTGCTGAAAATAAATGCCCCAAAGGGATATCTGAGTGAAGCAGGGTTTTGTGGGTAGCTGAGATGCACAGGTTTATCTATGTAGACATTTTTCTTCAAACAGCAGAAGACTGAATAGAGAACAGAGGAACTGGCTGTCCTGGTAGAAGGGTGCGGAAGGAGATGGACGACCTGGCTTCCTATTTCTTATCTTCTGCTTACCGGTAGCCCTTGAGCAACCTGCTTTTAGTGATGGTGATGATAAAGGAAATTCCAGTGTCTCTTGCCCTGCTTGTGTCTCCCGGACAACCCTACTCTCCCCCTGCTTCATCATTTGCTCCCACAGTTGGGGATGTAGGTCAATAAGAGTGGGTGGGTGAGAAAGAACAGAGAAGAGACTCATCCAGACATGACACCCCGCAGGGCAGCAGTGACAACACTTGAACCTGAAAACTGCCTGAAAATAGACTGTGTGTCTATGACATTATGCAAATCATATGCAAAGTCAAGAAGCCCTCTGTCTCTATTTCTAGCAAACTGAATGTGGCCCTGGTGGAAGCAGCTCATTCCAAGAGTCGCCCACCCAGAGTGATGATTGCATAGCTAGCATCAGTTCCAGCCCTGGGACGCTGGACTTGGGATGTCCACCCCCAGCCCATTCCCAGGGCATGCCTTCTAGGCAGGGGGATTTTCCTATCGCTTGGGTTGTTAATTTTAATGCCAGGAAGGATATGGGGCAAGCAGAGCACCATATCCTTGAAGGCTAATGGGAGGCAGGACTGAGAGTGGATAGTACCTGGGAAGGCAGAGAGAACTGTCCTTAAGAACCTGGGTACCAGGCATGGTGGCTTACACCTGTAATCCTAGCAGCTCAGGAGGCTGAGGCAGGATCGTAAGTTCAGAGCCAGCCTCAGTAAAAGTGAGGTGCTAAGCAACTCAGTGAGAACCTGTCTCTAAATAAAATACAAAAAAGGTCTGGGGATGTGACTCAGTGGTTAGGTGCCCCTGAGTTCAATCCCTGGTACCCCCAAAATAAAAATAAAAAGGGGATGGGGATGTTGCTCAGTGGTTAAACACCCCTGGGTTCAATCCCCGCTAACGTTAAATAAAATAAAATAACCTGGGTTCCACGAGCCCTTAGCAATGGAAGGGTGGGCCTCAGCAGCAAGGATCACACTTCAGGGCCACATTCACCCCACTTCAGCATGCCGTAGCACCCATCACCCCTCATCCTCTTTGTGGATAGGTAGGGAGTTGGAGGAAAAGGGCCCCCAGGAAATTAGGGCAAAGCTCAAGATCAGAGGGCAGCAAATTTTCTTCCTTCCAAGGCAGTTCCCTAGGGCTCCACAGGAATTGGCTCGGGAACGGTGACATTACAAGGAGTCTATTAACCCTGCAAAGCAATGGCCAGTTCTTTCCCATCCCGCCCAACGTCCGCGGAACTCTTTGCTGGGCAGTTTTCCTACTGCCTTTCTCCCTGCTCTGCAACCACAGTGTGGCTATCAGGGTGCCCACTGGGACCTGGCAGGCGCAGGGGGAGGGAGAAGTCTGCGGGTGCAGGATGCTAAGATGCGAATATCCCCAGCACGGGTCAAAGAGGGCGCCCGAGTTCTCTGAGAAGGCACTGTGTTGGGGGATCCGCGAACCCAGGGCTGAAGGCATGGGCCCTCTGGGGGACTACAATCGTGATAGAAGGAATAGTGACGCCTCCCGTGTTTTTCCTTTCGTCCAATATAAAGACACAGGTTTTCAAAACCCGGCAGCCCCCCACCTCAACCCCCAGCGCCACTCGGTCCTGTCTAGGCCCCTCCCAGCTTCTTTAAATATCTGCCTCCCCCGTGGCCTGTCGCACTCACAATTTCCGGGGAGCGTGGAAAGGGGAGTGACATGCTTTCTGAGCTTAAGATGCCAGGGTGGGGAGCTTAAGATCCCCAGGGATGGGGAGTTTCTCATTCTGGAGTGTGGACCGATTCTATACAAGGTGGGGATCCATTTGCCATTTGCGGAGAGAACTGAAAACAGGGAATTGAGAGCGAATCAAGCTGCTTCTGAGGACTCGGAGATCTCCCTGCTAGTTATGGTTTTCGGGGACAGTCCCTGCAAACCAGAAGGACAGCTGAGCACACGCAAGGAGGCTGGCGCACCCGGAGGGGAAGGAGATCTCCAACCTGCCGGGAAAGGCCAGCCGCCCGGCTCTGCTCGGGGGAGGGAGACCCGCGGCCAGCAGAGGGCGACGTGGCCCGCGCACCATCGCACCGCTCCCGATCGCTACAGATTGGAGTCCCCGTGGGGGTCTAGTAGGGGTTTTCAGAAGCTGCTACTTTTCCAGGGGCAGTGCGGAACGTGGAGCCTGGGGTCCTCTCCTTCCTGGTCCCCACTGGTTCCCTCTGTATTTGTGTGAGGGTACCGCTACAGATGCATTGACCTGGAACACTCAACGTTCAATCATAGTTTATTGAGGGCCTACTATGCGCTAGGCACAAGCTAAATGCTCCCACAAACAGTATCTCCAGGTTAAAAAAAAAAAAAAAGTATGATTCCCACCAGGACCATCTCCTCACTCAGAAGCATTTGTAGACTATTTTCCAGTGTGACCCCTCCCTCCACTCTCCCCTGTCACTCAGTACCTCCTCCCTCAGGCCTTTGCCATTTAGGGTTTTTCCAAGTTTTGGGGAGCTACTGTCTTTGGTTTCTGATTGTGGAGTTTCAGGAAGAGTTTAACAAATTTAGTGGACATAAAATCTTCCAGGTGGGAGCCTGTCCCGTACTAGTGGGTTCCAGTGACCAGAGAAGCTGCGAACTCTGCCCTCGTATTCCAGGATGCGGCTGCTTTCGTTTTCAGCCAGTTTCACTTCCTGGTTCTTCTCCCTGCCTTGCACAATGCTAGGAGAGCTGCCTGGGGAAACCTCTGCCACAGAGTGGAGGAAGACACACCCCAGTGGTTCATCTAGGCTAGGGAGAGCGAGAGCTTCCTTCCCCAAGGGCTGAGGACTGCTAGGCCAGGTCTTCTCAAGCTGAGGGCTGCCCTTGTCCCCAGCCTGAGACCCCACATACAATATCCCCTGAAGTTCAGTCTCCAACTATCTCCCTCCACACCATCTACCCACCCAGGCTCCAGGGTCATCTGCTCAGCACCCAGACATACACCTTGACATTTCCAAATGCTGAACTTTCTGTATGTTTTTCTAGTGTCACCAAGATCCTCTGGGTCAAGGATATGGGACTGGGCTAGTATGGAGCAGAACCTGAGTGCTGGAGTCTTCTTGGCTAGAGCCATATTTCTTTTGCATCTTGCAGGTCACACAGGAAGCTGTCCCTCAGCCCTGAGGCAGAGAAGACCAAGTCTCAGAGTGGATGGGAGGCTGGCTTAGGAGCCAGAAGGCCCAGGGCTGTCTGAACCCAAGGATGGTCACTAGCATGGCCTAAGGCAAGAATTGGAGCTTGCAGAATTAGACCAGGAGGCCCTTCAGACCCTCCTAGACTCTGAAGCAGTCATTTTCACATTCCCATCTTGAGGCAAATTGCCAGCATAGGGGCAGGAAAGACTGATGAGCTTAGTTTTCGCATAGGCTGACATTAAAAGAAAATCAGAGTAAAGAAACCTCAAAGGACATCAGGACCAAATCTTTCAGTATATTGATGAAGAAACAAACGTCCTAAGGCAGTAAAGGTCCAATCTGGTGACATGGAGCAACTACCTAGGACCCAACTTGGGTCTCTGGACTCCCACTTGAACCTTCCTTCCCACCCCCTGCCACACACAGCTCAACATCCTCTCAATTATCCTTAAGTCCTGGGCCTTACCCATCTGACCTGACACCTCTCCACTGCCATATGCAGGACCCCTTGAATTTTAATGCCCTAACAAGTCAGCTAGGATAGCCAGGGGACACAGAGTGGCAGGATCAGCCCAGCTCCTCCAGCCAGCTGGCATTCAGCTAGCTGGGGCCTTGTGGGTGAGACAGAAAGTCCAAGGTGTCATGCTATTGCGATGTAAACCCATAGAGGGCAACTGAGGAACCTGGGTATTTGGAATTTGTGTCACAGGCTGAGGCCTGGCGGGGTAGAGCATCTGCTGAAGGCTGGACAGGGCCCTGTGCCACCCTGGCAGCTCTGGTGGGGCAGTGAGGTTGATCAAGGGCAGGGGAAATATAGGCCCAGGCTCTGGGCCCGGGACTGGGATTCCCTAGCGAGGCTGTCCTCTTTTGCATCCCTGCCCTGGGAGTGGTAGGGGGTACACCCTCCTGGCATGGGGGGTGGGATGGGGAGAGAGCCAGGCGTCAGGGAGCCGGCCACTTTGAGCAGGCCAGACGGCGTGGGATCAGATTTCAGCCCAGCTGTATTTTTGACTGGATGGGCTGGGGGCCAAGCTGGGAAGGCACAGCTGCCCTCGAGGGGGGCACCCCTCCCCAGCGCATGCACACACGCACGCAAACACACACACACACAACCTCTGCCCAGATGGGCCACAATCCCCTGCCGCCCCACACTGCAGGCAGAGCGAGTCCAGCGACCCTGGGCTAGTGAATCACTTTGGGCTTCTCTGGACCATGGCTGAGTTTCTGTAGTGTCTTCTTGATGCGCAGCGCGGTGAGGCGGGCGGAGGGCGTGGGGTACCAGCACTCCCGCATCATCTGAGCCAGGCCCGAGAGGACCTGGAGGTCAACAGAGAGGCGGAGGAGAGAGAGCAGGGACAGACAGGGAAGGTGGAAAGGAGGCCATGAGGCAGATGGCTCAGAAGAGGGAGACATAGCAGGAGAGAAGGGGCAGGAAGAGAGAGACAATGGAAGAGACAGGAGCATGAGAAAGGGGAAGGAGGTAGCAGGACAGAAAGAGAGAGAGCACTCCGGTCATTAGGAGCCCACAGTGTCTGTGGAGCACCTCACCCCAGCCCCACCTCTACCAGGACCTACAGGGAAGGCAGCTCTGAAAGCCTCGGGGCTCCCACGTCATCCCACTGCAGCCCAATGCCCAGGGCGTGGCAGTGACTCCCAGCCCCTCCACCAACCACGGCTGGACAGTGGAAGTCTGGGCGGGGTACTGCCCCCAAAACGCCTAAGTCCAGGGAGGAACAAATCCCGGGAAGCTCAGGGTCAGCCCCACTCCTCTGGTTCCTGACAGTGAGTATATTTGCAGGAATGCATCCACGTGGTTTTTTATGGCTATGCATGTTGTATAGGAATTTGTGTGCCTATGTGTGCAAATACATGTGTACATTTATTAATTCTTTCAGCAAATATTTGTTAGGCCTTTATTGCATGCCAGGCACTGGTATAGGTAATAGGGTATAAAGAGAGCAAAAGAGGCATGCTCTTTGTCCTCATGGCAGAGATGTGCATGTGTATGTGTTTAAGAGTGTGTGTTTGGAAGCATATACATGCCGATATGTGTTTATATACAAAGTGTACATGACTTTGTATGAGTATGTAAAATGTTTTGAGAAAAAGAACAAAGACAAATGACAAAAATGTCATAGCAGAGATCCCCTGACTTTTCACAGGCAAAGTGAAGGCTCTCAGAATCTTAGGTTAACCAAAGGGCTCTAGGAGGATGGGGGCCCACAGGCCCAGGATGTGGAGGGGGTACCCAAGACAGCTAGAAACTACCCAAAGAGCAGAGGCCTCAAACACAAGTTCCTGAGCCCAGAAATCCCAGCTGTGAGCCCCACCTCATGCCATCCCAGCCCCAGCAAAGTCCTTACCGGGTCTGCAGCCAGCCGGTTGGGGATGGTGGGGGTTTGCTGGTCAACACACACCACCTTCTTCATGTCCTCAAAGCTTGGGTCATTGGGCACCACATCATAGAAGGGTGGCCTGTAGTCCTCCACAATGCCTGGAGATTGAAGAGGGATTGGGCCATCACTTGAGACCTCAAGGAGGCCAAATAGCACCCAGAGGACAGCTTTTCTCAGCTTTTGTCCTAGGGGCTTGGAAACTAATTGCCTGGTCATGTCACCCTGAGGGGGATACTATAATATAAATATATTTATAATTAATAATAATTACTGCCTTTGTTTTGAACTTCTCATTTGTCAAACATTGTACTCTAAACATTTCATATGAATTATCCTGTCAATTCTTAGGACAGTCCTGTGAGGTTGGTACTATTAATGCCCCCATGTTACAAATGAAGAAACCAATGTTCAGAAAAGTTGAGCCCCAGGTTACACAGCTAGTAATGGCAGTCAAGACTGAAGCTCATCTTGCTGGATTCCTAGGCTACATCTTGTTTCAGTTATTCCTCTCTTTCCTTCCCTGGCCCTGACTAACTCTGATGCCCCATAATAATAACACCTAGGGTTTACTGAGCACTTATTATGTGCCAGCTACTGTCCCAGGTGCTCTGTCTCAAATCCTCACAGTAGCCCTAAGGGGTACTATTAGCTCCACCTTATAAGCCAAGAAATGAAGTCCAGAGAGTTTAAGAACTTGTCTAAGATCAACGGGTTGTAAGTGACAGAGCTAGGACTTAAGTCCAAATATCTAACCTTAAACCCCAGGCTCCTGAGCCCCATGCTCCACTTAAAGGAGATAGCAGGTTGATCACTGGATGAGGATGGCAACAAGGACAAGAAAGGGCAGAAAACACCTCTCCTAAGGGAAAATTATTTTTATCTTGGTCCAAATAACATCTATCCTCCATCAGGAAAGGCACAGGCCTCCACTGATCCCCATAGCTAGCAATGCCCCCACTCTGCCCCATATTATCCCAAGCGCACCCTGGGAGCTTTCTAAAAACAGTGTCTGTGAAATTGCAGGCAGCCCCATCCTGCTCCCAGGTCTCCAGGCTGGGGCCACAGCCACACAGGCCACCACCTCAGTGAAGCCTTCACCAGCTGCTTTCCCTGTGGCAGGTTTCCAGGCCGCCCCTGTGCCGCTTGCCCTTAATCAGTGTCGCGCAGAGGCCTAAGCGTGTCTAATGAGCCTTTAATCAGTGCCGGGGCTGACACCAGATTACAGTGTTTATAATGCGCTGGGAATCTGTGTGGGGTGACAGAGCTTCCCCTCCGCTTCAGCAGCCCACAGGCTGCCTCCTCCTGGCCCTTCCTTTCCTGCCGGCAGCCTGGTCCAGGAGGCCTTGGCTGTGTCCCAGTGCCCCCCTTCTTTCAACTCCAGCCTCTTACAGCCCACTCTGGCAGCTCGAGCCCAGGAATCTCAGCCTCTTGAGAGTCTCCCAAAGGGATACTCCCTGCTGTCAATATGATCTTTGAGGGCAGATGAAGTCTGGCAAGGGTCTGGCTCCTGGCAGATGCTCAGGAAATAAGAACATTCCTGTCCTAGGGAGCAGAACTCCAGTCATGTCCTGAAGATTGTCCCCAACCTGTCAGGGCTCCTGGCATCCCTGGCCATTGGCAACCTCTGCAAAAGCTGACTATTCATCCAATCCAGATGACCATTCATCGTCCATCTACCCCAGGGCTGAGAGGGCAGCCACCACAGAGCCGCAGAAGGCAGGTGCCTCTACCTGCTCCCAGCTTGACTAATCTGAGTCCCCTTTGGCAAGCCACAGTACTAATGATGCCATTGTAAATGCAGACACTATGATGGCCTGCATTCTTGTGGCTAAGGAAATCAAGAACCAGAGAGGTTTAAGTGTCCCAATAATAAAGAACACTGGCTCAAGAATCAGATTGCCTGGTTTTAGATCCTGATGCTGTCTGGTTGGCTACACTTCTGTGCCTCAGTCTTCTCGTATATGAAGTGGGGGTAATACTATATTAGGCACTTATCCTATCATAACAATGATAGCCACTAATGTTTAGCTTCAAAGATTGTTCTCAATACTTCCCTTGGATTATCTCAATGGTTAAGAAGCTATTTTTATTCTTATTTCATAATGAGGAAACTGAGGCACAGAGAAGCTAAGTAACCAGTTCAGAATCATGGCAAAATCTGGAACTAAACTCAGCCAATTTGATTTTAAGCTTATGCCTTAATCACTAAGCAATACAACCTCCCTGCCAATGCAGGACATTTAAATAAGCTGATACATGTAGAGGATATAGCACATTTTTAAGCTCAATAAATGTTAGCTGCTATTAATATTTCTGTTATTATCCCTAGCCCAGGCTTTCATAGCCAGGTTCACAGACTCAGATGAAACTTAAAAGGTCCCTCAGATGAATCATTGATGAGTATCAGTGAAGGGATGCCAGGTCTACCACAAGCCCCTCAGGTCATGGGCACCAGCCATGGCAGAAAAAGCCCCCATCTCCACCAGCCTTTCCCACCCTTGTGTGTAGTGAGCCCTCACCCACCATTGACAATGGTTCGTCGAGCAATTTCCCACAGCACTAGACCAAAGGCCCAGATGTCAGTCCACTTGTAGGACTCGAAGCAGTCAGTACGGATCTGCTCATCCAGCACCTCGGGTGCCATGTACCGCTTAGTGCCCACTCTTGGGTTATTGCCGATGTCCAGGTAGTCGCTGCCCTGGGAATGCATCACAGCCAGGCCTGTGGGTGCAAAGCCTGTTACTCCTGCCATTCATGCTGCCCTACACATAGGGCTGCCAGCAGAGGCTGGGGTCCAGGTCGGGTGGGGATGGGAAGAAACAGTGAGGGTTAAGCAAAGGGAGACCTGCACAGAGATGGGCCAGAAGACAGAGACAGTGACTAAAAGGAAAAGTTTCCAGCTACCCCTCCCACACACACACTTTTTTTTTTTGTACTGAGGATTGAACCCCAGGAGTACTTAAACACTGAATTACATCCTCAGCCCCCCCCCCCTTTTTTTTGTATTTCTTTTAGAGACAGGGTCTCACTGAGTTGCTTAGCAACTTGCTGTTGCTGAGGCTGGCTTTGAAGTCACGATCCTCCTGCCTCAGCCTCCTTAGCCGCTGGGATTACAGGCGTGAGCCACCATGCCGGGCTACCCTTTTCTTCCATAGCGCTCTCAAGGTTCCCAAAAACCTATCAAGTGTGAATAGGCAAAGCAGGCTTTATTATGCCCATTTCACCTTAAGTTCGGTGCTGGGGAGCCATGTAGTCAGGGAAACTAGGAAGAGAATCCTGGTTCCTGGTGTCCTGTCCCTTTTTTCCATAACTCCTGGGGCCAGAGTGGGTGGTGGAAGGAATATGGGCTTGAAAAGAATGTTAGGATAACCCGTGGGGGCCTCTTGCGGAGGTGAAATGAGACTACACCTCTTCAAGTTTTAAAGGGCCAATGGCAGTCCACACCCACCAAAACAAGCAAAGCAGAGGCAGAGCGCGCAAACCCCCCCCCACCGGCGAAGGGCCCGCGCCCTGTTCGGGCGGCTCACCCAGGTCGGCAATGCAGCATTGCAAGTTGCTCTTGACCAGCACGTTGCGACTCTTGAGGTCACGGTGAGCGATGGCCGGTTTACCCTGTGTGCCAAAGATTTCCACATGCAGGTGCGCCAGGCCGCAGGCCGCCGACACAGCTAACTTCAGGGCCAGCTGGGGCTCAAGTGTTTGCCTCTGCAGAAAGTCGTAGAGGGAGCCGTGCTCATGGTAGTGCGTGATGAGCCACAGCTGCGTGCTTGAATTGCGGGAAGTCATGTCGGAGGCGATGAAGCCTGTGCACAGAAGAGTCAGGATGGCTCAGACAAGAGGCTGGGGAAGAGGGAGACTGGTCAGGGTCAGGGTAGGGCTGGGAGGCAGGGAATGGGCTAGGTCAGGGCAAAGCTGGGGCTGGGGTGTAGGTTGATCAGACTTAGATCATAGGCCTGAACTGGAATCAGAGATTGGGGCTGAAAGTATTTCAGGGTTAGATTAACCTCTGAAGGTCTCTGGGCTCCAGCCACAAGTGTAGGGGGATGAGAGCCCCAAGCCTGGAACAGTGCCCATCCCCCTTGCCTAGGATGTTGTCGTGTCTGAGCAACACAGTGTTGTAGATTTCTGTCTCCCGAAACCAGGACTGTTCATCCCTTGAGGAGAAAATCTTGACGGCGACGCTCTCACCATGCCACAAGCCTCGCCACACCTCACCATAGCGTCCCTTTCCTGATCCAATGCCAGAGAGGAGGGGAAGGGTCACACACGGGGCACACAAAATCTGGGCAGAGCCCCCTCCCCATCTTATGCTATGCAAACCCCACCTGCAAAACCTCTGAGATCTAAACTCAAATGCAGGCTACCCTCAACCACCTCTTGTTCCAACCCCACTCCTGCAGAAGAACCTAGCCTTGGCCCATCTCCAGCCCAATCCGTCCAGCAGAATTTCTTTTCTGACCCAGGCCTGGCCTCAACTGTGACTCTGGAAGTCAAGAGTTCTCTCACTCCTCCAGGCTTATGGAAGCACTCAGTCCCCTTTCCCTGGGCTCACCCACTGCTCACCCACACACTCCACCAGGGCAACCTGCCGTGCCACGGTCCTCTGCACCAGAAAGGGGAGCCCAGAGCCACTGCCGGTAGTACAGTCACTGTCCAGGAAGTCCTGGGGATACCAAGAAGCCACTGAGAGGCTGCTCACACCAGCCATGGCCCCCTTCTCTATCCTCAGCCTGCATCCTGCTGTTGTCATTGCATGTTCCTTACTCGCCCAGCTCCCTGCCTGCTCTAACCTCCAGGTGTCCCCTTCTAATTCCGTGGCTCCTGGCAATCCACCCTCCACCCGGGATCCCAGTTCCCCCAGGCCCATACCCCCAACATGCTATCTCCCTGCTCAGATGCCTTCAGGATGAGACTGGACTCGCCCAGGTCGCTGTGCAGTCCCCGCTGTTTCTCTTGCCTCTGCCGGATATGCCACAGGCCCACAGCACCCAAGGCCACCAGGACCAGCAAGGCCAGCACGGGGCCCAGGATCAGAGGAAGCTGACCATCTATTCCAGGCTGCTCCGGAGGAGGTTTAGTGGCTGGTGGAAGGGTACATTGAGTTCCAACTTCCACCAGTCCAGTTCCCCACCTTGGGTCAGGTCACTCTGCCAGTCAAATCCCAGCATCCTGCTCCCTGACCCTTTATGGGCCACAGCATGAGAGGAAGCGGGGGTCTGAGAAGGTGAAGAGGGGTTGCTGAGGCCACTGGACATACCATTCAGCACCAGGGACACATTGCGGTTACAGAAGGGGCTGAAGCAGCAGTAATGATTGACAAAGTCAGTGGGGCGTCCCCTGCAGAGCTCCTGGTGCAGGTTCCCACAGCCTCGATGTTCCTGGGGGTGCCTGCCCTCCTCACGGACCAGCACTACTGTGCACCAGGCCCCCTCGCAGGTAGGCCCACTGCAGTGTGGGTTCTTGCACGTGCAGGTTACCAGCGGGCCCCGAGAGGGCTTCACGGGGTCACCTGGGAGACACAGGAAGTTCAGCCACTCTGGGCAGAGCTCTCCCAAGGTGAACTCAAAACCCATTTCTGTTCCATTCCTCTCCCTTCTAATCCCCCAAACAAATCCCTTGAGGCCTTAGCTCCTTACTCCCATCCTCTGATCATCCCTCACTCACAGCCTCACCCTAATCAAGGACAGATGAGACTGTGAGAAGCAGACTTCTGTCTGCTGTGTGATTGTCAAGCCTCCTGGTCCAGCTCCAGCCTCTCCCTACCGATACCCCACCTTCCACCCTAGATGGAGGTTCCCACCCTGGAGTCTGACAGAGCCCCAACCTGCAGGTTTGTGGCAAGAGGACAGCAAAGGAAGGTTGGGGCAGCAAGGAGCTTAATCTAATGGAGCCTCTTTGACCCCACCCCCCCCTCCAGTCAAGCTCCCACCTTCCTTCCCTCCAGTTCTTCAGATTCGGCCACTGCAAGATTTGGGCTGAGCAGAGACCAGATAGCCCTTTCTCCATCCAGGCTCCTGTTCCCAATTGCCCCCTCATACTCACCCTGGGTTAGGCCTAAAGCCATCAGCAGCATCAGAAAGCCCCTTCTGGGGGGGCCCAAGGTCATGGTCCCTGGAGAGAGTAAGAGAGGAGGTAAGATCTACAGAAATCGTGACAGCCGCTGACTGTAGCTCCTTCCTAGCAGGAGGAAATCACTGGGAAGTTTTTTGGGGGGAGGCAGGGAGGCCACCTCCCCACAACGTCTGGCTTTGAGGCGGGGCCTGCAAGGGAAGTCCTGGTTCACTTCCCCATGGAAACCATCCTGTGAGAGGTGAAGGGTGGAAAGCCATATTGAAGTGATCTGTGAGCTTGAGGGAACCCAGCTCTGCTTCCCTGCCCCTGAGCTCAGACTGGAGGCAGGCTGGGAGGCTGCACAGGGCTTTGAGATGGGGAGAATAGAGCATCTCCTCAGTGGCCCCCCTTCTTTCCACTGCCTCTTGCCCACCCCTCCCAGCCTCCACCCCTGCCCATCCCTTTCCCAGTGCCACCCCCTGCCCCACCCCCACTGTGGCTGCCTCAAACATAAACAGGCTCCTGTCTTCACTTCCTGCCATTCAGGGTCCTGCTGAGCCAGGAACAGGAATCAAGATTGTTTAGATTGAGGTCTGGATAGAACAAGCAGAGTCACGCATAGCAGGGAATTAAGGGCATATTGTCATAGCAGGCTGGAGTAGCTGCAGGGTCTAGGGGCTGAGATACAAACATGACAGAATCCTGGGAGGACACCTTGGAAATCATAAAATCCAACTCCTGGTTTTAGAGAAGAAGGGACTGAGGCTCAGAAAGGGAAAGAGGCAGGTTGGGGCTGGGGCTCAGTGGCAGAGTGCTTGCCTCGAATGGGTGAGGCACTGTGTTCTATCCTCAGCACCACATAAAAATAAATAAACAAAATAAAGATATTATGTCCATGTATAACTTAAAAAAAAATCTTTAAAAAGAAAGGGAAGGAGGCTTGTCCAGGTCCAGTCAAGACTCAGTGGCAGTAGCAGTTCATCCCAGGTGTCCAGACTCCCAGTCTAGTGCTCATTCCACTGTTTTCTGATATAATCGTGGTAGCACATGTCTGAGCCCTTGAACCACCAGCCATAGCTTGGACAGTGTGGAGTCATGCCAGGCATAAAGGAGCTTCTCTGCCCCCTCAGCAGAGTAAAAGAGAGCCATTCCCTAGCCCAATTCTTGTCCCTTGTCCTGGGAAAGGGTGGGGGAGGGCCAGAGATGTGGGAGGGGAAGTGAAACACATTTAGACATTAAATATTTGACCTTCCATGACTGGCTGGGGTTGGACTTTTCCAGAAGTTTGATGGAGAATGTTAAGGGTAGTAATTCTGATCTATAAAAGTCCCCAACTCAGAGCCCAAGCAAACTAGTGCTTTAGAAGCCTCCCTACTCTTCACTTCTCAAAGTTTCAGACCAGGAGGTATGGGCTGACACTGGTCAGACAGCAACAAGGACTTTCTGAATGGCAAAGAATGTTCAGGAATGTGTCTAGGGACTGGCTCTGAAGTTAGCACAGCTAACATGAGGGAGGAAGAATGCCCTTTAGCCTGACATGATGAGGCTGTATGGCTGGGCATATGGCCACCTAGGCTGCAGAAGGTCCATGGTCTAAAAATAGTGCCAAATGAAGACTTAAGACACTGAGGCTCTGAAAGTGGGATGTCTGGGGTAGGGGGCTTCATGGTTCTGGCTGGTGGCAGCTCTGGCCTTCCTGCCTGGGCTTCCTCTGTCCTAGAGGCCTGGGCTGGGGGAGGAAACAGAGCCCTGGGCTGCTGCAGCTATGTCCCCAGACTCTGCCTGACCTGCTCCCTTTTGTCCCTCCAGGCGGTCAGGACTCTGGCAAGCCCTCTGCAGTGGGACTGGTGGCTGGATGGAGAGAGAGCCCCAGATGAGATGAATCTGCCCACTGGGGTAGGTAAGGATGCCAGGAAGCCATCCTTAGCAGCCTTTGCCCAGAAAGCTGCTGAGAAGAGAGTATGAGGCAGGAAGAAAAAAGTGGCCAACAATAAAAATGGCATCTGTCCTCATTCTAGGATCCTCTACCTAAGCTTCCACTTATGGACCATCCTCCGGTCCACCCACTCACTTCCTCTACTAAACATCCCCTGCAGTGAGTTAGGGATGCATGTTTTCTGGTCTCACCCCAACTCTAGATTCTATTTGTTTTCTTTTTCTCCTCAGTGCTGGGGATTGATCTCAGGGCCTCCCACATGCTAGGCAAATACTAGGCAAATACTCTACCACTGAGAGACACCCCCAGCACCTGCCCTGCCCCCTCCAGATTCTGATTCAGTCTTTCCGGGACCAGCAAGAAACACACATTTTTCAGAAGTTTCCCAGGGAATTCTGATCAGTTTTGTGGGTGCCATGCTTTGAGAAATGTATCCAACAGGAAGTTAAGATTGGCTCCTAGGCTTCCATTTGCCCTGCAGAGTCCTGCTGGATGAGTGGACATGGGTGGCAAAGGGAAAGGATTTCAATCCTGCTCAGGGACCTCCTCAACTCCAGGAACAGAAGTAACAGACAAGTCTCAACACAAAGCCAGGGACTTGGTGACACTGTGGAGCAAGGATGGGGATGAAGGGTTTGCTCTGGTTGTTGGCCATGCAGGAAAGGGCTGGCAGCATTTGCAGAACTCACCTCTGGTCTAATCCTGGGAATGCAACAGGGTAAAACTGGGACTGTACAATTCCTAACTAAGCACCACCTAAGGTTAAGTAAAGAAGGGTCTTGAATTCTCACCAGGCCAAACTCAGAACTGACCCCACACCCATACCATGATTTGCCTTTAACTAGACTGTAGCACAGACATCTGGGACCTAGCAGTATCCTTTAACTTCTAAGCAAAACTGTATGAAACATCTCCTACAGACAGAAGCATCACTGTTATTGGCCCAAAATCACAAACCTTAAACTAAGTTGAAACAGAAGCTTAACACTATGAAATAATAATAGTTAACTTTCCCTGAGTACTAATTATGTGCCAACTACTGAACTTTAATGGTTTATCTCATTTAATTCTTCACAATAATCCAACAAGGAAACTGTGGCTCAGGATGGTAAGCCAAACATGGTTGGTTTGGTTTTTGTACTGGAGATTGAATCCAGGAATGCTCTACAACTGAACTACATCTCCAGTCCTTTTTTAAATTTTTTTATTTTGAGTCAGGGTCTCACTAAATTGCCCAGGCTGGCCTCCAACTTTTTAACCTCTCGCCTCAAAAAGTAGGGATTACAGGTGTGCACCATCATGCCCAGCTCTAAATGTCTCTCATACATATATATATATATATATATATATATATATATATATATATATATAAATGATATATGTATCTTATGTACATATATATGTACATAAGATACATATATTTTATATATATGAGTTGTAGATGGACATAATACCTTTATTTTATTTATTTTTATGTAGCGCTGAGGATCAAACACAGTGCCTCACAGATGCTAGGCAAGTGCTCCACCACTGAACTACAATTCCAGCCCCTCCAAATGTGTTTTGATAAACTTAAAAATTGCTGAGAGGGGCTAGAATTGTGGCTCAGCGGTAGAGCGCTCGCTTAGCACGGGTGGGACCCGAATTTGATTCTCAGCACCACATAAAAATAAAGGCATTGTGTTGTGTCCATCTATAAAAAAGATTCTCTCTCTCTCAAAAAAAAAAAATTGCTGAGAATTATGCTGGGGTTGTAGCTCAGTGGTAGAGTGCTTGCCAAGCACATGTGAGGTACTGTGTTCAATTCTCAGCACAACATGAAAATAAATAAATAAAGGTATTATGCCCACCTACAACTAAAAAAACAATTTTTTAAAAAAAAATTGCTGAGAATAAATCCTGTTTTGGTCATTGTTATTCTTCCAACTGTTTGGAATTAGGTGAGTCCCTCAAAGGAGGAAAAGGATGGTCTGGGACCCAGCTAACAAATATTCTGCTATTGTCATCAACTGGTACCCTACCAGTTTAATTGCAAATACAGCGTTGCTGCCCATCTGTGTGTAGTTAGTGTTTGAGTCTCAGGTGGGGTAAGCCAGAATGTGGCTGGAAGGTAGCTGTTAATTTTTTTTCTCCTCAGCACATCTGAGGGACTGATAAAACCCTCTGCCATCAGCAGAAAGGCTCAGCACAGCAGTGCTGCCTGACATCAAACTCCACCATCTTGCCTCAGTCTCACTTCGTTATGTCTGACCTAGACAGCACAGGACCAAACTGGGCTGTGCATATCAGGCTGCCCTTACGATTCATTCACAGCATTTTATTAGCCCCTGTTAGAAGTGCAATAGAGCAAAAACTAGCCTGGATTTTAGGGTCTCAGGCAGAATGCAGAGGCAGCACAGTAGGGTACCTCCTCTTATCTAAGGGGGATATTTTCCAAGACCCTCAGTGGATATCTGAAAACATGGATAGTACCAAACCCTACATATACCATGTTTTTTCTTATACATACATACTTATGCTAAAATCTAATTGAAAAATTAGGCAAAGAAAGAGATTAACATCAACAATAAAATAGAACAATTGTAATAATATACTGTAATAAAAATTTTACTTTCACCTTTTCACTTGAAGGAAGCACTTAACACCTTCTTTTGGCATATCCACACTGTCAGCATCATTACCCTTGCACTTTGAGGTGGTTATTAAGTAAAATAAGGGTTACTTGAACACAAGCACTGCAAAACCTCCTCAGCCAACCTGACAACCAAGATGGCTACTAAGTGATTAATAGACGGGCAGTCTATATAGCATGATGTCCCAGGAAGGAAGGACTAGGATGATGCTAGATTTCACCATTCTTCTCAGAACAGTGTACAATTTAAAATTTATGAATTGTTTATTTCTGGATGTTTCCATTTAATATTTTAACACCACAGTTGACTGCAGGTAACTGAAACCTCAGGAAAGCAAAACTATAGATAAAGGAATCTGACTACTATATAGCCTAGAAGTTAGGGCTTGGGATCATGTGGACCTGAGATCAAATCCCACCTCTGACACTTAGTGCTGTAAGATTAGAGCAAGTTATTAGCCTTTCTGGTTTAGGCTTCTCCTCATGTAAAATGGGACTAGTAATAGTGTTTATTTCATAGGTGTAAGTAGTAAAGTTATTTAGCAGATTACTAAGTAGTACACAGTAATCACTTAATCAATGCTACCAAAACCCCAGTCCTACTATTTAAACCACTCAAGATGCACTGGACAAGTTGTTCAAATCTGAACCTGATTAGGTTGGGCATAAATTAATCCTTTTTCTGTTGGATTGTGAAGGGGATTAAATAAGACAAACTATATCTACAGGTGTGCATAGTAAATACTCAATAAATGATAGCTACTTTTAACAGCCCAATGACAGGGGAGGACAGGTGAGAAGACAGGTACTGGGCCAATGAAACAGTGAGGGATCTGAGAGGAGAGACCTTAACTCAGCCAGAGGCTGCCTATAAATAGAGGATGAGCGCTACTGCCCATTATGGACCCTCCTTGGAAAGGAAAAGAAGGAGCCGGCAGCCAATCCAGGGACCTCAGAGATTTCAGTGTCCAGGCAGACTGAAAACCTGGACCCTGAAGGAAGAAAGCCATGGTATGGGACTTATGCCACCATCCAGGGTTGGAAGTGAGGCTTGTGGGAAGGAGTGAAAAGTGTCGGGTACCTTAAGCAAGAGCTTCAAAGGCTAGTCCGAGGAAGGTGGCTCCTAGAGGAGGCTCAACAGCAATGAAAATGGACACCCTCCCTGGTCAACCCAGCGCCCTGGAGGGACATGTGAAAGGCAAGGCAAGAACGCTTCTGCCCACTTCATGGATGAGGATAGGAAAAGAGAGAAGTTAAGTGACAGCCCCATGTCACCTCCAGTCTCAGATGTACGCAGACAGCGCATCCTGAGCTGGGACTGGCCCTACTGCGACCTCTCCGAGAGGTCTTAGAGATCACTCGATCAAGGGCTCACTGGGGCGGGGGTCAAGCCGCCGTCTGGCATCCTGGCCGCCGCCCTGGACTCACCTTCGGGCCAGCCGGCACCACGCGAGCGTGAGCGGGCGGGGGCCGCCTCCTCTCCCCGGTGGCGGCCGCCGATACACGGCAAGCACTGGAGTGGGGACCCGGGTCCCGAGGTCCGGGCGCAGCCCCGGACGTGCTGGGGCCGGGCAGGGGTTCGCTCGGCGCGGCTGGCGCGGCCGCCTCCCGGGACTGGAAAGGGGGCTGGAGCAAAAATGTTTCTTATTCCAGCGTCTTCCTGCCTGGCCCGGCTCCACCACTCCCTCCTAATAAACCGTTTCCTATTGCCCAGCTCGCCGACCGGCCGCCCGCTCGACCCCAGCCAAGCCCCGGGACCAGCCGCTCCCCCGCGCGGCTCCCAGACCCCAGCGCGGCCGCGGTCCCGGCCACCCCAGCTCCGGGTCACCGGCTAGCGCCCCCGCCCAGCCTCCCACATCCGCCTCCCCGAGGGGGCGGGCCTTGGACTTGCGCCGTGGGGGTCCCGTGGGGGTCCCGGCCCAGCGCCGTGGGGGCCAGAGTTGAGACAGGAGGCAAAGAGTGACGGCTGGGATGAGTGGGGGCGCTCGCAGCCGCTGAGGGAGCAACCTGGAATCTGGCGTCCATAAGGGGGGCATCTAGGGAAGGACAGGAGCAAGGATGGCAGGCGGAGGGATGTTACCTGTCCTTACCCAGCCTTTAACCCGCGGTTCTCGGTCTAGGAGTGTCAGAGGAGCGAGGGCAGAGTTTGGGGCCCGCAGGGTCCGAATACATTTTGGCTCCGCCCTCTGAGACTTCTCCCTCGGCCCAAATCTTTTCGCCTCCTCCCTCCAGCCCCTTCACACACACCCTGTCCCCTCCCCTTTTCCGCGGCCGCCCCTGTCTGCCTTCAACACTGGGGCAAAGCGGCCCAAAAGGGCGGCTCTGGGTCTCTGACGAGGGTGGTCTGAGCTCCTCCAGTCCGCATCATTGCGGTTACAAGGACGCGCTCCCTACCAGGGGTGGCCAGAATGGAGACACCGGGAGCTGCCTTGGATTTTCCCGGTCCAGGAAAAGCCCCAGTCCGCCAAAATGGAACTCTAGAGGTAGGGAACTGAGCCTCACACTGCTGAGACCAGGCAGCCGGGGAGGGGAACCAAATGGAGATCAAGAGAACAAGGGACTTTCTCCTGCCCTGACATGTTCTGCGAGTGCAGACCCTATCACGCTTTGCTTCAGTCACTAAGAGTGATCTGTGGCAAGATTTCATTCCTAGCCTCCTGGTTATCCAAACAGACTCTGAAGTCAGACTACCTACTGGGAATCCAGGTGAGTTGTATGACCTTAGGCAAGGGACACTTCTCCATGCTTCAGCCCCTCATCTGTTAAATGGTCATAATAAACAGTGCCAGACTCCTCTGGTTGCAGGCAGAATCAAAGGACATGATGTTTATCTCAGTCTACAGCCAAGATGCTGGCTGGCTGAGCCCACACAAAGTAGGCCCTCAATGAAGGAGTTTGTTAAATAAGTTAATATATATGAAAAGGCTGGAGAGGAAGTGGCCTCAGTGTCCAGTGGAAAAACGAAGGAGTAGACAGACCTCTAAGGTGTCTTTCTCTAACATGGGGATTCTGCAAGATGGGCCAGTGACACCCCACCCCACACACTGACAGGAATAGAGGCTGGGGGAGACAATGGCCAAAGGCTCAGACAGGCATCAATAGTTGACTGACCTCACTTCCTCTGCTGAAAGCCTCCCCATCCCCCACCCTACAGCTGCTTCACAATTTGTGAGCCTCATGAATTCCCAGAACCTTGACACACCCAAATTTCAGTGTCAGGACAGAACCATGTCCTTCAGCCAATAGGAAGTACTATGCTATCTGCTCTTTCAGATTATAGTGGCCACTTTGGCACTCTACTACTACTACACATTTGGGAGCGTGGTGTGTGACCATCTTTTACACCCACACTCCTCTCTGCCCTGCTTTAAATTCTGGTAAACCTCTCCCTCCCCCAACCCATGGATATCTGCTCTGGGCCAAGATTCCATGGGATACCCATAGCCCAAGTCCAAGGCCTGACGCTTGGGGAGATGAATGTGGGAGATCATCAAGGCAGTCAAGAGCTGAGAGTCACTGATGGGAGTCAGTGAGAATGGAAGACTTTATGTGGGCAGGGTTTATGAAACAGGTAAAAGTAGTAGGGTAGGTTTTGGGAGGAAGAAGAGAGGACCCTGTGTGGAAGGGTGCTGCTCATGGGTGCTGAAGTCTCCCCCATCTTCTCAGGGCACTGAGCCCTCTGGACCATGACTGGTGCTGCTGGGGGGCTCTTGCAAACCCCATGCCTCCCACAGCACACAGAGAACCTGGGGGAGGTGTCAGAGAAGGGACACAAGAGTTGGAGAAAGCACTGGAGTCTCAGGCCAATGAGGACATGGAAAAGGAATTACAGGCTGTGTCCAAGTCTTCAAGAATTAATTGCTCAAAGGAACCAGCTGTTCCTCATATTCAGTGAGGACAGAACAAGAGGAAACAGCCCAGGACTTCGATTGAGATTTAGATACACAGAATTTCCCAGCAGTGCCTGACACAGGCCTAGAGGCCCTGAGAAGAGAGTGTGGGTGAACCTGGAACAAGAGTCTTCTTTACAGATGGCTGGTGACACAGAGCCCAGTGTGAAAGTAAGAAAGCAAGACAATGGACCATACTTTCTGGTCCAGCTTTAAGTATGGAGTCCAAGCATTTCTCTCTCTTTTATTTTATTTTTTTTTTTTTTGTACTGGGGATTGAACCCAGGGGTGCTTAACCACTGGGCCACATCCCCAGCCCTTAAAAAATATATATATAGAGAGAGGGGGGGGGGTCTTCTTGAGTTGCTTAGGACCTCGCTAAGTTGAGGAGGCTGGCTTTGAACTTGGTGATCCTCCTGCCTCAGATTCCCAAGCAACTGGGATTACAGGCAGGTGCCACCATGCCTGGCCACGCATTATTCTTCAGACCAGGGCAGGGCTGGCCTCATAGGTGTGTGAACAGTGCAGATATTCGGGGAACCATGCTTTGTTTAATGCTCTGTTATTTCTATCTCAAGATTCTTCATAATATTCTTTGTTGGGTGTGCATGGTACTGGGGGTTGAACTCAGAGGAGCTCTACCACTGAGCTACATCCCCAACACTTTTTATTTTTTTAAATTTTTGTGGTGCTGGGGATTAAACCCAGGCCTTGTGCACGCGGGGAAGCACTCTACCAACTGAGCTATATCCCCAGCCCACTTTATTTTTTATTTTGAGACAGAGTATCACTAAGTTACCAAGGCTGGTCTCAAACTTGCCATCCTCCTGCAAGCAAGTCTCCAGAGTTACTGAGGTTACAGGTGTATGCCACTGTACCTGGCCGTAATATTCTTAATAATGTCCAAAGGGCCCAGACTTTTCATTTTGCACTGGATCCCACAAATTGTGTAGTTGGTTCTGCACCAGCTAAGTAGGAAGAAAAGGGTGAGCTGGGCTTTGCTCCACTTATACTGTAGATTGGAAGGCTGAGTGTGTAGCTCGGTGGTAGAGGGCTTGTCTAATATGTGTGAGGCCCTGGACTTGACATCCAACACTACAAAAAGGAAAGAAGAAAAATTGCAGAGTGGGAGAATGTGATTAGACAATTTAGGGATTTTTCAAACGTGAGTCAGAAAACCAGTAGAACAGGGTGCCTGAGGAGGAAGAACAGTGGATCTAACTCTAGGGGAAAAGAGCAGATACCTGTAAATTTAATTGATCCATCTATTCAACACTCAGGAGAGATTCTTAGTGAGGTAGGCTGAATGGAGTCCGAGTTTTGCCTGGAAGAAGAGGAAGAGGAAGTGACCTTCCAAGTGTCCTTCAGCTCAGGACAGAAAGTACCATAGTCTCCTGAAAAGAGTAACTCTGGGTCATGGCACCTGGGTTCTGGGCCTGCATCACATCTTGGAGCCTGTTTCCTCCTCTGTACCCTAAGGGGTTTAGACTAGAGAATCCTGAAGGTCCCTCCTGGTGTATGTAATATTCTTTGACATTAAGATTCAGGAAACTGGGCTGGGGTTTTGGCTCAGTGGTAGAGCGCTTGCCTAGTATGTGTGAGGCACTGGGTTCGATTCTCAGCACCACATAAAATAAATAAATGAAGATATTGTGTCCATCTATAGTTAAAAATATATTTAAAAAAAGATTCAGGAAACTACCTGGACTGTAAGGCTCTGTCTTCATAACTCAGGTCAACAGGCATTTGGGTTAGTACTAATGTTTGCGGGGGAGAGAAGCCAGGGCTCTGCCCAGCTCCTCAGGAAGAGGCTAGCAGACATGGGCCAGACTTCTAGACTCTGAGCCTCCAAGTCCCCTTCCTCTTCCTCCCAGTTCTTCCAGATCTCCTGTAGATGGATTTGTCTCCTCCCTGCCCAACCCTCGGCTCTTGGGATAATGCATCTCAGGATGGAGCCTCTTGAGGAAGGGATGGAACATGAGAGCAGGGGAGGCTGGAGGTTGCAAGGTGCCTGTGTGATGCCAGTTTCCTTCGGAACATGGTTCCAAGTGCCACCTTCTCTCCAGCAGTGCTCCTGGTTCTGGATCACCCCTCCCCACATGCTTCCCAGAACCCTGAATTCTCAAACTCCAGCCCACTAACTGGTTTGGCTGCTGAGGAAGAGGAGTGTCAGTGGAGAGTCCAGACTGGGAACTGGAACACCACATGCAAGCCCTGGTTGCCATACCTGTGGGAAGGGGTTGGTACATGAGAAAGTCCCCCACCAGCTGTGAAACTCACACTTGCCATTTTGGTTGGTTTGAAGAGAGAGCAAAGCTGTTGGGTAGGAGAAATAGCACAGAAATGGGGAGTCAGGAGCCAGAGGCAAGGCTGGGGATGGTAGAGTAGCCCCTGTGTCCTCAGCTGCTCAAAAGTAAGTAATAAGTATCGCCTCCTCTAGTAGCTACCTGAGAGGTTATCCTACAGATGAATATCAACCACTGGGGAGGCTGTAAAGTATAAGGCAGCCATTTTGAAATAGATAAATGTAAAGTATAAGGCAGCCATTTTGAAATAGAACCCAAATAAGCACAGGGTGAAATAACAATATTCTGCAAAAGAGTATAAAATGAGAAGTAATTGTACTCATCCCCAGACCGTTCTCTCAAAGTTTCAGCTATTCATTTCTCTGACACTTCATAACTCTCAATGTGTGTTCATGGGCTGTCTCTAGATCTTAAAACATCAGACATTATTCAAAAACTTTGGGATTTAGGTCATTTAGATTGCTTTCCCTCTAATTACTGATTGTTTTAATATTATTTTGAAAATTTAAGTAATATAGCCAAATTCTTACTTCCTATTCTATTAATACTAGGCAGGATCTCCTGACACTTCACTGATTAAGAACAGTGGCATCCACCCCTTCCTTGAAGCTACAATTTTGGTGCAAGAAGGGAAGCCCAGAGGGCATGATGACACATGCCTCTAATCCCAGTGAGAGACCCACCTCAGTAATATAGCAAGGCCCTCAGCAACTTAGCAAGACCCTGTCTCAAAATAAAAAAATTAAAAAGGGCTGGGGATGTGGTTCAATGGTAAGCACCCCTGGATTCAATCCCCAGTACCCCCCACCCACAAAAAAAATCTGTCAATTTGCTGGGATGCCACTCTTGTTATTGGGGGAGGTTCAGGTGAAACTCATGACAGCAGATGCCTCCAGGACCTTGCTGAGCATTTTGGTGGCACAGAACTTCTAAGAGGCATCTCAACTTTCCCCCTCTAAAGAAGAGCTGGGCCTGTACTTGGGTGAGAGAGGCCAGAGTTGACTGGCAAGGGAG